TATTGAATGCACACAGATTTGCAAATCTTTCCCCGTTTTCGTTTCTCTCTCCCAGTCCATGTAGTCCCATGATGTCTTCATATCCGGTGTTGTCCATTCCGACTTTGGCGTTTAGATCTCCCATCAGAATGGTGAGGTCCTTTCTTGGGCACTTCTCTATGATTGATTGCAGCCTCTCATAGAATTGATCCTTAACGTCGTCGTTGCTATCATTGGTGGGTGCATAACATTGGATAATGTTCATTGTGATCCCCTCCTTCTTTGTTTTGAATGATGCTTTGATGATTCTGGATCCGTGAGATTCCCATCCTACAAGTGCATTTCGTGCTACTTTGGATAGCATTAGAGCAACTCCCTGAGTGTGTGGAGCATTTTCCTCTTCGTGACCGGAGTATAGCAGCATCTCTCCCGTATTTAGCCTTTGTTGTCCAGCTTGGGTCCAATGGGTTTCACTGATTCCCAGTACTGCCAAGTTGTATCTCCTCATTTCCGTTGCTATTTGACTGGTCTTCCCGGTCTCCCACATTGTCCGGACGTTCCATGTACCTATAAAAATTGTTGCTCTGGTTGTTAGGAGGGGCATCGGCCTCGTGGCTTCCGAAGGAACTCGGCTTTCACCATGAAGCGTCATATTACCTCTAACTCCCAGGGCAGAGTTTAAATGGTTTGAGTTATTTTTTCTGGTTAGCGTTTTTTTAGCGAGTTAGGTTTCTACGGGATGGGGACGCTAACCCCATGCCCAACCCTCCTCCTTTACCCGGGCTTGGGACCGGCAGTAACTCTGGAAGAGCTACAGGCGGAGTTCATTCTGATTAATAATTAGGGTGAAATGACATATATGAAAAATACTCAGTTCAGATCAATGGGATACAAGAATATCGTATACAGGATAAAATATCATGCGAGAAAAGCAAACAAATACTTCATTGAGTAATCATTAAATTGAATCCAAATTGGAGTAATCTTGAACAAAACTCATATTGAGTAAATCAATCGAAAATTGACTTTTCTTTCCATCATGTCACATCTCCTTTTTTGAAGATCCGGGGTTGATATCCGTATTTTAATTTTCCGAGTTCATCCTCCCCCACGAAACAGTGTTGGATCCTCATATGCCCAAGCTACAATTAATTTGAATTTATTGAAGACATATTTGTCGTACTGAGCAGAGAATCGACTGAAAATGACTGAGTGGTGAGGCTGGACGACGCTTGATATGATGTGATCAAAGTTTGATTCTTCAGAAAAATTTTCATCAAAGTTCTTGAAAATCTCATTGGTACATAGTGGATCACTAGAATAATCAGCGTCTATCAAAATTTTATTAGGTTCTTGATCATCGTTTAATGCATCCGACAAAGTTTCCTCATTTGTGTAAGAAATTTGATCAAAAGCAAGTGAGTTATTAAGATAACTCATCTCTGGTAAAACAACCAGTGAACCGCGATAAGTAGATTGATCAGATGCTTTTGTCGTAGAATGATAAGCTAAATTTGATGCATCTGTCTTCATTATGCTGCTTGTTTGATTTTCTGTTTGTTCGTAGGCGGCTAATGCAATAAGTTCATGATCATTTAATAAGACAACGTCTTTCTGTGAGTTGGACAGGTCAGTTTTTGTATATTGTGTTTCGGGGACAATGGGATTTGAATCCATTACCGGGCATATTTCTGAAATGAGCAGTATTGGATTACTGGGCGGATCTTGAATGACTACCATTTCGTTTAAATTACGGTTTGCCAAGATTAAAATCGCTTATCAGTCATTTCAGTTGTTGTGTTTTTGTTTATTTATTTATTCCGGTGCGCACACCGAAACAGATGGTTTTCTTAGAAGGCAACACCTAGAGATCCTCGGTTGTACCAGAACATTTGAGGCCAGTTATAATATGGAGTGAATAAGATCTAAAAGAAACGTTATTGATTGAGATCATGAACCGATCGATGCTAGACCATCATTGGGAACCTGGGAGTACTGGATGACGTCTCGTCCCATTGTGAGGCTCCTCGGCAGTGAGCATCCACGATCCCACTCACGGGATTCGAACCCAGGGCCTTCAGTCTCGCGCGCGAACGCTTAACCTACTGGACCACTGAGCCGGCGTCCAATGGTGTCAATGTATAACTTCAACCAATTCACGAAGTTGCTCGATCATCTCCCATTGTACTGAGGTAGACATCCGTTTCTACCCGAAACGCATTAGCTCCACTGGTCACGGCTTCTCACCAGGATTCTGAGAATTTTCTCACGAAGCTAGTCGTATAACTCAGTCACTAAAGAATTTCCAATATCTACTTTAACTAGATCTGCCATCAAGTGAACTTGTAGTGGCTAGTTATATATCGAGCCCATTTAGCTTATTCTAGCTTCTGGACAAGCCAGTTAATTCATTCTTCTCAATCTACATTCTGACTTGTTAATTACTCGCTTATCAATCTTGACTGTTTTTATATGATCATATATGTGTGTACACTTCTTATCCTATTCATCACAAGCCTGTAACTTAATTTTGTGTGACTATAAATCTTGACTAACGCTTGATTAAATGAAATTGGCGCACACGCCATCTCCACCGCCAGTCATTTTGTTTTGCTCTTTTGTTTTCGCTTCATTTCTCTGATTGTCTGTTCAGATCAATGATTGTACAAAATATTTATATTCGAAAATTCATTCTCATGATTGATTTATTTAATTCCTTGAATTCATGGATCAATTGAAGCTAGACCACCATGGAAAACCTGGAAGCACTTGATGGCCATTTCATCCTACTGTAGGACGACTCAGCATTGGGCACCCACGATCCCGCCTCGTGAGATTCGGACTCAGAATCGGCTCAGTGGTCTAGTGGTTAAATGGTGGGTTCGAATCTCCAGGGGAGGGATCGTGAATGAGTATTGCAAAGGAGTCTCACAGTAAGACGAAACGACCGTCCAGTGCTTCTTGATTTTCCATGTTGGTCTAGCTTCCATTAACTCACGATCTCAACTAATGATATTACTATAATATCCACAAAATCTCTTTTCTGATTATTTAATTCCGTTATTCACCAGCGCGATTTAAGTCAATAGTAATATACGAGTGTAGCCAAGATATGTATATTTCGATAGCAATCAGAAACGACCAAACAGGAGTCAAATATGAAGGACCCTACAAAAGTGATGAGCCGGTCGATAACATCGTACGATCTAATTGGAGTCAAACCTCGGACTACTAAAAAAACTTTAAAAATTAGACTTAAATTTACGCCTTTATTTGTAGACAATTACTTCAAGAGGCATGTTCTGGAGTCCCAGTGAGAAGCCGTTGCCAGTGGAGTTCAACCAGGTCTGTTGTGATATATAAGCTTACTGAAGACAATGGTATACGGTGTCGTTTAATTTCGTGGATTAGTTGAACTTAGACATTAACACCGTTAGATGCCAGCTCAGTGGTCTAATGGTTAAGCGCTCACGTGCGAGACTGATAGATCTTGGGTTCGAATCTCGCGGGTGGCTCCATCATGGATGTGCACTGCTGAGGAGTCACACACGAGGACGAAACATCCGTCCAGTGCTTCCAGATTTTCCATAATGATCTATCTTCAATTGATTCATGATTTCAACGATTGAAATTACAAGTTTCTTAAGTAAAAAAAAAACAGTCATCAAAACTCTTCTGATTTGATAATAGTATTATACCAATCAACTAGTTTCCAAGTCTATCATTTCAACTCTCTTTCATATTGTCATCATTACTCACTCACTTAATTACTTACTTACTTACTTACATCTGTTACTCTCAAAGAAGCATTGGCTTATTGTCATCATACATCAAAACATTATTGAATGTAATTTAAATGTATGTTTTAAGTAGTATATATAAATAGATTGTAAAAATCTTTTATTGATGTATAGTATCTAACGGACTATACATATATATATATATATAGGCTGATAGTAAAATTGATAAAACAATGATGTTTATTCATTTATGTATTATATTATTTCTATTATTTGTATTATGTAATATAGTGAATAATTCATCATTCTGTGGTTCTATTTCTTCTGCAAACTTGGTAAAACTAGTTTATTCTTTTCAATTAAACATATTTATTGAATATTTAGGAGCATGCCATACCTATTCATACTGATCAAATGAATAAACGAAACATGCAACCTCAAAGATTAAGGTTTTACCCATATTTTACTGAAAATTTTCATAGATTGCAGTATTCTAGAGAACTTTTGGTACGTATTATTATTACTATTATTATTATATAAAATGTTACTTGTATAATTGAGTAAAGTAGAAACTATGCAATACATGAGTTGGATGGTCGTTTGGTGGTAAAGATTTCATCATTCTTCTGAACGATATCATCAAAACAAATTTTAGGTAGAAGTGGAATGTTTAAATTTTTTTCACATGTGGTTCACTGTTTATCCTGTATACCTCGATATGGATTAGTTCTTGTTGACATTATATCTGACATTGTTTACTTCTTTGTTTCTGTGGTATCTCCTATTGATTTGATTTTTGTTTCTAATATGTGGAGAAATTTGAAGACTTCACTTCTCCCTGAAGTATGTGCTGATGATGTTGTTCAGAAGGACAATGAAAGCTCCATGACCAAATCATCCAATTCAAAGAACAAAACTCTGTTAAAACCATTTATCTAAGCTACAAATCGTCTCCACCATCTCATTTATGTATATTTCATATAGATTTTTCAGATTATTTAATTCCATGAAGTATACTTTATGAATGACTTATAAGTGACGCTCAAGTGACCTTGAGAGTGTTCACCTAATAACCAGGACTAAATGAGGGTTATAAATTAGTGTGAGGAACTCATCAGTTATAATACCAAAACTCTTTTAAGCCAAGTGGCTGAATAGATTTTACACCAATATTCGAGACCTTTTTGCCTTATAAGTAATTGGTTCTTCCATAAATTATAGTTTTGCCATTTTTATCAGTCTTTTAATATATATAATTTACAGGAATTTGCAAATCAGGCAATGCGATTTTGGCAAGAAGCATTAACAGTTAAAACTCCAGAAAAAACTAATCAGCTTGCTAAAAGGTATCATTTGAATAAGTAGTTTTCAGTTTTTTTTATTATCATTGTGGAATTGTGGAGATTATCGAATTTTTGATTAAGATTATGAACCCATTAACGTTAGATCATCATTGAAAACATTGAAGTACTAGATGACCGTTTTGTTCCAGTATAGGACACTTCAGGAGTACACATCTACGATCTCACTCACGGGATTCGAACCCAGGACCTTCGGTCTTGCTCGCGAACGCTTAACTTTTGGAGTGCTAAGCCGGCATTCAACGGTGTTAATGTCTAACTTCAACTAATCCGAGAAATTGCGTGACCATCTACTATTGCACTGAGGTAGATACTTGTCTTTAATAGAAATGGATTAACTCTACTGATCACGGCTTCTCACTAAAACTCTGATGATCTATTAGAATGTTTTAGATTTAAACTACAACAATGATTCAATATCTCATTTTAAAGATGAATTTTTTTTTTCTTGAACATTTAGATATTGTGAAAGTTCCAGTAATCAACTTATTTATCCACAGGGTTCTGTTTGTATTAATTCACGATGCCAAATTAAAGCAAAATGTGGCCATGTTGATATCCCAAATTTATATTCATCTGTAAGTATATTACTGAAATGTACCATTTATATGAATGTTGTAAATTATAATTTTACAAAAAAAAAATTTGTATTCACTTCCAAGTCTATTACCTCTATTTCAACAAACACTGTTAACATTTATGCCGACTATTACAATTTATAGGCAACTAATAATAGTTCACTGAAATCTTTAGTGGATATAGTTGACTTTAGCTAAAAATGAATAACTGAAAGTAAATGATGGAGAAATGAAGTCTTTTTAATACTCACGTACTTACGCTTGTTACTCCTAATGGAGCATAGGCCGCCAATTAGCATTCTCCCACCCACTGTGTCTTGGGCCTTTATTTCTAGTTCTATTCAATTGTTGTTAATTCTTCTTATGTCTATCTCCATTTCTCGACGTAATGTGTTCTTTGGTCTTCCTCATCATTTTTGCTATTGAAGATTCCATGTGAGGGCTTGTCTTGTGACTCAGTTCGGTGCTTTCCTCAATATATGTCTTATCCACTTCCATCAATTCATTCTGATTTCTTCTTCCATAATAGATTATTTCTGATAATGTCTAGCCAACAGATCCGAAGTATTTTGCGTAGACAATTGTTTGTAAACACTTGTATCTTCTGGATGATAGTTTTCGTAGTTCATCAAGTTTTTGCCCCCAAACAGTAGAACTATCTTAACTTTTGTGTTGAAAATTTTGACTTTAGTGTTTGTTGGCAGTTGTTCTTCAATTAAAAACATTCTATTCTTGATTTACCGATCCTCTTCTTTCGAATAACTTTTTATCAAAAAAATATGTTTAGAATTGTACGACTTCTGTTAATAAATTGAGTCGACTGAAACATACGAAAGTGAGTGTACACATACCAATATGGTTGCAGAAACAAATGGATTCCAATGGTCAAATAACAACACAGGATAGACAGACATTATCCTCTATTACAAAACATTTGATTGAGATGGGTCATAAGGTTGACTTTATAGACTGTTTATAATCAAGTACAGTGATATTATCTGTTTGAAAATGGTAAATCTAAGATGTTCTTTTATTTCGGGTAATTAAAATGAATCATGATTAACTGTAATGATTAAACTATGTTATGTGTCTTCAAGACATAGAAGCATATTTACACGTATATCTAAAACTATCAAAAGCTATTCATTCATTATTTAAGAGTAGAAATCGTTCTCTTTTATTACCCATGTGAATATTTACCCAGTTCATTATATTCTATGTTGTAATTATGCATTTCATTAATTTATGGATGACCTTTGAGTGACGCCTCAAGTGACCATGAGTGTGTTCACCTTATACCTAGGACCAAATGAGGCTTATAAACAGGCGTGAGGAATTACAAGTATGATTTACAATTGATTGTCAAGGTTAGGTATTAGATTTAGGTTATTCTCCATGAACTGACATCACTTATAATGCCAAAACTCTATTTAACCAAATGGATGAATAAATTTCGCGCCAAAATCCGAGACCTGTTATCTTACATCTGATTGGTTCGTTTTTAAATTATAGTTTCGCCGAATCTAGGGAAATATAATTAATAAATTTAATAAAAGAAAGTGTATATGTTTCATGTGTTCATTATATGCTACTTAAACTACTCATATGAATATTATTATTCATCAGGAATGTTCAGAACAGTACTATGGAAGGTTGTACAGACGATACTATGACGGGAGTGGAATCCCATCTGCTGGTTATGTTCTACTTTTTGATGGTTATCAAGGAAAGAGCTGTACTGGTAATGTAGCAGCTTATGCGGCATCTTGTTTAATGGATTCAGACACAGACAGGTAATTACATTGATATTTTTAACCCAAAAACAAACAAACAAAATAGACCATTTTAATAAGATTTCTCGAGTATTTTGAACTCTATTATTTGTTTCTTAAGAGAATAACGTTAAAACAAAGTTCAAATTAATGACCATTTTTTGTCAGTAAACTGGTACTGTGATGTATGCTACTTATATTTACATAAGTAGTATATAACGCGAGTCAGGAATATAATGTCCGGTAGAAGAAGATTGAGAAGATCAAGAAGGGAAGAATGAGAACAAAAAGCAATTAGTATGGAAATGCTAGAACAGTGAAGTCTGAGACGATTGACTGATATTTGCAAAAGGAGCAGTCAAGTTTGACACAATGGATTGATATTTTGCAAATTAAATATTTACTTTATGGTTCTTACATTTTACTGAGATGTTCTGTAATTTTTTTGTCTTCACTTGAGCTCGCGTTCACTGTAGTACTTCTGTTATCCTACAGGAGGTCGGTCGCAGCCCGGATAGCTCAGTGGTAACGTCTCTGATTGTGAAGCTGGGTGACACGGGATCGAATCTGCCAGGGAGCACCAGTTCCCTCAAAGATTACAGGTACACTTTGCTGACGAGCGCCAAGTAGCAAGAAACCCGGGTCCAGGGTTTACTGTCGACTACCTCCAACCACCACCTAGTCTAACAATAGTGCCTGCAGTGTCGAGTCACCTAGACTGGTGGCCACATTGCAACATGGTCGATAGCATGTGATCTGCACTAGTCATAAGGACTAGACACGCATGACATTGGTCACCACCCAGTGATCAATCAATTGTGATAGAAAGAGATTTCTTCATTGTGTTACAGATGTTGATGGAGATTTTTTCTTTGAGCTGAATGGTCTAGTCGTGGAGATTTCATCGTTCTTTTGAACGAGATCATCAGCACAAACTTCAGGTAGATGTGTTACAAATTATTTATGTGAAGTATAAAAGTAAATTCTATCCGTGGATTAGTATGAATCATTTGTACCATCTACCCTTCATAGTAAACTTGAAATTAGATTTAAAAAAACATTCATTATGAATATCATTGATTTTGAAATGCTTTTACTGAAAGGTAGTTAATCCAAACTAACCATATTTGATTTTCTAATACTCACCTTCTTTTGACAGTTGAATTCGTAAATCAATCTAAGCTAGATTATTATTGAAAACTGATAAGTCTTGCCATTTCGAACACTGTAATCGGTTCCTAAGCTATTCTTGAAACCGCCAAGTTAGAACTATACAGCAAGCTGAACACGAGAAAGAAGGCGCAAAGTATGCGAAAAGTACTTTACTCCAAAGGTTCACTAATACAGAAAATATAGGTTTTTTATAATATTTTAAATGCCCTTGGGTTGCTCGAAGATTCTGGAATGCTAGTAAACATAGTAGCAGTTTGACGATCAGCCAATCAGAAGCTCTGCATGTGACGTTTTCACTTCCTTGGTGTTTCTGGCTAAAACTTCAAGTGAACACTGATTGGATGAAATGCTTCTTAGTGTTTCCTGATCCTTGTTTATCATTTGTGAGAAATTTTCTGGATCAACACAACAAAAACCTGGAATCATTGGACGACCGTTTCTTTCTAGTATGAGACTCTTCAACAGTGAGCACTCATCTATTTGAATAAATGTTAGAGAGCATTTGGTTCTATGAAAGTTTATTAAAATGAATTATCATTCGATTTATTCAAATGGTTGAATTTGCAAAGGAAGAATGAAACATCTTGAATATTAGATTCCTAGTTCTGTTCATCATTACATCACCTTTTTTACAGGTTGAAAAGTCTAATTAGAAATGCAAATAAAAAATGTGATAATAACATAATCAAATTCACATGGTGTTGTTTTACTTGTAACTTTCCATTATTATGTAGGACTGTAAATGATTAGTCTCTTGTTGGTATATGGGCATCATGTGCGGATTGCCTCGATATTGGCTTAAGTCATGAGCACTATATATAAGCAAAGATGGATCATTATCCCAGAGTAAACATCAACTCTGAGATACATGTACATTCATCTGACGAGTGCCAAATAGGACGAAACACACATCCTGGATTCCTCTGTTACCCACTATTCATTTTTTGCTTAATAACATAATTATTTTTGATAAAATGTTAAAGGAAATATGATTGTTATTTGTTTATACTGTAGACCAATTCTTGGATATGTTAACGTATGTCCAGGAAAATTGAAGATTGATTATCCTGAGAATAGATATTCACTTGGAATTTTCACTCATGAAATTGCTCATGCACTTGTAAGTTTATCTATTTTCTGAGTACCATGTAGTTGAAATGTAAACTATCAATATATTACATCACCTTGTATTGATTGTTTATTAAAAATAACAAACTGAACAAATATAACTTTAGAATTGTCTTCAGTGGAAAGTTTTTTCCATTCAAAGATTTAAGGGTTTTATGTAGAAAAGCTATTACTTCTTTCTATAGACAGATAGATAGATAGATAGATGTGTGGATAGATAGATAGATGTGTGGATAGATAGATAGATAGATAGATGGATAAAAAGAGAGTTGAGTTGAGTATATGTTGCTTAAAATACTTATACTTTAAGATGTATCTCATTTAGTTTTTCTTTTTGTTTGGACATATAGTGCTAAACCTATGATTGAAGTTCATCTACAAGGTTTATTTATTCTGAACATGCGTTTACTTAATATTCTAATCAAATAGCGGTTTTATGGATATAATAGTAATTTGATAGTTGAATTCATGATTCGATTGGAGCTAGACCATCATGGAAAATCTGGAAGCACTGGGATACTGTTTCGTTCTATTGTGAGACTCCTCAGTAGTGCACATCCACGATCCCACCTTGTGAGATACAAACCCAAGACCTATAGATCTCGTGCGAGAACGCCTAACCTCTAGACCATTGAGATGACATCCAATGGTGTTAATGTCTAACTTCAACCAATCCAGTGACCAGCGGAGTTTAACCACGTCTGTTGTGAAATAGTAAGTCATTAATGGAAATGATGGACGGTGGCGCAACTTCGTGGATCAATGGTTTAGAGTTTAAGCGTTCGCACGCGTAATTGGTAGGTTCTGGGTTCGAATCTCGTGGGGCGAGATTATGGATGCGCACTGCTGATGTGTCCAACAATGGTATGAAACAGCCATCTAGTGCTTCCAGATTTTCCATGGTGGTCTAGCTTCAATTAAAATAATTCAAATTTTATAGAAACTGATATTCATACTTGTAAAGAGTCAATAGTTGTTCTAAAATAATCTACTTTTCAGATATAAAGATTAAATAAAACTAAAGTAAATAGGTACTTACAAAGATTTGATTCATTTGAGAAAGAACTACCATTGATAAATTCACTGATTCATTCAATATTAGATCTAAATTTTGATATCAATGATATATGCTGCTTACATTTGAGATTGTGTATTCTCCCCCCCTTGCAAGAAAAAACAATTGTCTCTTTTTGTTTTAGGGATTCTCGTCCTCTAGTTTTGCATTTATGCGCTTTCCTAATGGAACTGAACAAACTCCCAGAGATCATTGGCATAAACCGATTTACAGGGATAAACATGGTTATTATATACCAAGGTAATTATTAATATGACCTTTATGTTTTTTGTTTGTTTCTCTTCATATCTATCACGTGGACAATTCTCTTTTATAATTCTAACCCGTAAATTCCCTACTACCCTCGTAATTATTATGTAATCTCATTTGATATTTATAGTCTCGATTCTTTTTATGATGTAATCTTTGTTCTATGCTTCTATGGATATATATTTATCATACAACTGTAAATACGAATGTACGGTTCAAGTAAATGATTTCATTGAAATGAAAAATCTCGCGAGCGGGATCATGGATGCGAACTGCTGAGGAGTCCCACAATAGAACGAGTTGGCCATCCAGTGCTTCCAGGTTTTCAATGGTGGTTTAAAATCAATCGGTTCATGATCTCAATCAATAACTTAATAATCTCCAAAATCCCATACTGAAAATGTTCTTCATTGAATTCTGTTTACTTTTATACAAATCCATTAGTTTCGTATTACATATTTTATCGTTATTCATGTGTTTCAATATAATTTACCATGTAAATATGCTGAACTGATTGTCCTGTCCATAACAACATGTTCTTTATGACAATCAAAGGTCGATAGTTATCCCTTTCATGTTATCACCATATTTATTTTATTTTATTTTATTGGTACAAGGAGGCACCAAATACATATGAACCACACAGATCTCATTTGATATATGTGAGGGCTATGATACTGCCCGGGTGCCCAAACCGAAGCAGGTGGTTTTCTTTGGGGGCCACGCCACAAGCCTTCGACCTAAAGGTCTGATCCACAAGGCAGTGGAGCATCTTGAGAAGATGCAGTCCCATGGAAGCCGGTGACCAAGAAATTGGTTCATGCGGCATTTGTACTCTCAGGACACTGGAACCCATGTGCACCATTGGTTTTGGATCCGGTTAAAGCGCCGGAGATTCCCTTTTCTTCCTCTCATTTTCGTCAACAACACCCTCGCCACGAGAAGGCAGTGAGCAGGACTTCCCTGGCAGAGTCTATATACGTGTGGCCATGTGAGAGCATTTCGAGAGGGAGAGCGGACTCTCTCCACTCTCGGCCGTACTAAGGCACCAAATGTGTATACAAATTTGCATGTAAATACCAAAGCAGTTACATTGGTAGAACAGAAAGGAGAGCCTACATCCGATTTAAAGAACATATTCTGAAAAGTTTAAGGTCAAATGGATTAAAAACATTCAACAGTGTCATCACAAGACATTTCTTTGATACAGGATATGAAGTCGATACATTGAAATCTTTCAACGTGATTAACAAACAATCAAACTCCAACCTTTTTTGAAATTTGTCAAAGCTATAACAATCGAACGTCTAAAACCAAATCTATATATCTGAAAAAGAGATAGTAATAAAACTTTCTTTGCTCTGGTATCATTACATCCTGTTTTTATTTATTACGTCATCCATTATTTCAACTTTTTCTGAAGTATAAATTACATCATTATCATTTTTCTTCGATCCATATCTTTCTTGATTATCATTAATCGATCTTCAATTATTTCATTACATAATCATCTAATGTTTGTTAACTCTATAAATTCTAATTACTGTTTCAATGTTCTTGAACTCGTGTTTCGTCTCACTTGAGGCTCATCAACGGCATTTAAATGCATCTCAAAGTTGATGTACATTCTAGGACTCGAACTCACTGCCGTTTGCTTCAAACACTATCTCGTTATCTACTTAGCTACTGAGTTCTGATAACCACAGTATGCACAGATATCAATAAGATACTGATCCATTTCAATCCTAAACATCAATCGAAAGATTTAAACAACCAATATATATAATGAATGTAATTACATTATATGATCAATTTATATTATCTACGGTGACAATAATTAAAAGGAATATAAACCATTCAGATTACTTTATCAACACAAACAATAAATTCTCATTTAAGTTATGATGAAGTTATGAATATGAGTTAGATTCTTCAATTAAGTCAGTCTGCCTTAAATTGAAGATGTATATTGAGTCAATGGTAATTTAGACTATTATATGATGTAAAGAAGCTGCTTGAATCATAGAATTATGTTGTAGTTTGTTACAGAATATTTATAAGATTATACATATAATTAATATATTACTTGATTTGATCATATTCATTGTAACATCTAATAGTTTACAATTTATGAAAAGTGAACAATAGTTTACATTACTTACTTACTTACTTACTTACCTACACCTGTTACTCTCAATGCAGCATTGGTCACAAATGACAAGCTTATTTTACTCAACAGTCAGTCAGTCAATCAGTCAGCTGCAATGTAGGACCAGTCATAGATATGCATCGGTCCAAGTTGCCATACCGCATTAACACAAAAAGATGAACACTGGATTCATAGAAGTAATGAATTCAGTGATAGTAATATATAAAAGAAAGATTGCATATAAGGAGACAGTACAGAAATAAAGAATTAGTTCGTAGAAAGAATTATATGAAGTGTTTTTAATCTCTTAGTTTAAAGGAAGACAGATAGTGTATACACCGATGCCATTGTGATTGATTCTGAGTCATGTCACACAGAGTCTTCAACCATTGGTTAAGATAGTGAAACGGACCCCAACCAGGTAGTCTGCATCCACCAACATGTCTGAGACCACAAGTTAGTGACTTTGAGCACTGATGCCACGTTTTGGTTTAGCCGCCCCTAACTTTCTTCCTACATTCCCAACACTAGTCAGCATTACGGTGTTCAAGCATATGCCCAACCATCTCAGTCGATGAAGATTCACAACCTCATCAACTGATTCACCATCATTCCCTAATACCGTACGCCTAACCACACTATTACTTAGCCGGTGATCCCAGCAGATACCAACAATATTTCTAAGACATCTGTGGTCAAATACTAGTAGCTTACGAATATCTTCTACTCTTGGTGGCCACGTTTCGCAGCCGTAAAGCAGAACAGAACGAACTTTCGCGCAGCACACTTGTCCCTTCTTTGATAGGCGGATATTTTGCTTTCGCCATAGGTGACGCAAGTTGGCGAGAACCAAACGAGCTTTTCAAAACCGTGCTGAGATTTCGTCAGACACCAACCCATTAGGGCCGATCAGACTTCCAAGATAAGTAAAGTTGTCAACGCCTTCGACTACTTCACTCCCTATCCTTAGTTTGGGTGTTGACGCAGACTAGTCCTGAAGCAACAACTTGCATTTAGAGGGAGAGAAACACATCCCAAACATTCTGGCATTGTTACTCAGTGCTACCAAAAGACTCTGCATTTAATCAGCGTCTTCACCAAACAGGATTATGTCATCTGCGTATTCTAAGTCAATAAGTGGACCTCCTGGTAGGAGATCAATGCCCAAAAATTCAGTCGATGAGAGCGTTATTTCCGTCAGGCGGTCTATGATGAATATTCATTCAAATCTCTTTACTAAGTTATATGATTTTGAGATTCATGCCTTAGTGATTATTTTTAATTTGTTTAAATGGATCAAATATATTTTTCCTATAGCACTAATACGATGATCAAAATTAAAAGGGAATGGGAAAGTGCAGAAGGATTGTTTACAAAAGAGTTTTATTCTTTCATTACACCTGTTATCTTGGTAAGTCAACATATATGTTTGACACTATCTTATTATATTTCATTTAATAATAAGAAATAGTTCCATATGATACATACAAACATATCTATTTGTCAATACAATCTATGGATATATTAGATATTGGAACAACAAACAGATTACTTACTTACTTACTCACTTACGCCTGTAACTCCCTATGGAGCATAGGCCGCCGACCAGAATTCTCCAAAACACTCTGACCTCGGCCTTTCTTTCTAGTACTATCCAATTCTAGTTCATTCTTCTCATATCGTCTACATTTCTCTGTGTGATGTGTTCTTTGGTCTTCCTCATCTCCTTTGACCTGGAGAATTCTGATTGAGGGCTTGTTTTTTGACACATTTGGATGCTTTCCTCAATGTGTGCTCTATTCACTTCCAGAGTTTCTTCCTGATTTCTTTCTCCAATTTGGTTTGCTCGCTCCCAAAGTAAATAAACAGAATGCCACATGTTATATATTTTATTTATATAATAGTGGTTAACTCCGACAAGTAAACTAATGATTACATCATTCTGTGTTTAACTAACAGATATGCTTTTGGAAACTTCATTTACTTCAGTTCTAGGGTAGGATTAACAATATGTATGTATTGTGGCTGAAATCAGAGTATAGAAATTCATACTTGACGATGAGATTAAAATGCATGTAAAAATGAAGGGAATCTAACGAGGTTAAAAACAGCTCATAAACAACCGTAGTGAACAAGAACACGTGTGGGGACAATCGAATGTAGTCGAACACAAAATTACAGAACATGTTAGTAAAAACTGAGAATCATACAGTAAATACTTCATTTTCAGAATGTCCATCAACTGTTGCCAAATGTGACTGTTCCTTTTACAAATATCACCCCCAAATTTCATTGTTCCTACATTTTCATACCAACTGCTTTCCGTTCATGTTTTTCCCTCGCGATCTTCTACGGAAATACATTCTATTTTTAAGTATCGTTTTATACTACTTATGTCGATATAAGTAGCTCACACCATACAACTAAAACTTTCTGTCTGCAAAATTATATTCATGAGTAATGTGTAACTATAAAATTCAGGAAATTATATGAGTCTATAGAAAGATAGAAGCGATTGCATCATAAAGTGAATCAAGACTATCATTCTCAAACTAGGTTACGTAATAATCGAGGTTCAAGAAAAGAATATAATGCTGGATTCTGTTTAGTTTTTATTCATTGACATAAAGGATTGTTTTAATTATGTTATTAATTGACATAAGAATTGACCATGAGTTTTATTCTAATATTCAAGTATATGTAAACGAAAATGGCTTTTATCATAATTAGTGTTGTGACTTTAAGTCCGACTAATTATCATGTGATTTATTCACCAATTGAGATACGTCTTATTCTACCATACCAATAATGTTCGATCGATATGAATAGTCTAGCATTTTTATTCGTCCTTTGTCCTTCCTAGCCTTTCTAGTTGAGTCCAGAACGTCAATACCAGCTTCCATTATGCAAATCATTTATTTCAAACATAGTTGGTTTATATATCAGCCAAATAGATTGTATAACACCATAAAATAAAAAATTGATTGATCACTGGGTGGTGATCAATTTCATGCTTGTCTAGTCCTTATTAATGCAGATCAAATGCTATCGACCATGTTGCAATAAGGAAACCAGTCTAAGTGACTCGACATTGAGGGAACTATTGTGAGATTAGATGATGGTTGGAGGTAGTCGACAGGAAACCCTAGAAAATAACATTTATATACGATCAAGCCACAAAATAGCTATGAAGCTGAGAGATTGTAATCAATCAACTGAGCATAACTTAAGAATAATAAATCGTATCATAATAGTCTATAGATCAAAATAAAGCTTATGATAAGAAGAATATGGATATACACAATCTAGTTACTGAATAGTTATACAATAAGAACATATGTCCATAGAGATTTCTAAGAAGTTACCCACCATTTAATCTTCACTGGGATATAATAATAAGTTACTTAAAGATAACATGAAACACATTTAAAGTTATTTTAACAAACAATCTAAATATGATATACATATTATTTAGAGTGCTGCGAAAAAGCATTTGAGATGTGAAAGTTTAGATGGAGTTGATTTGGAAGATTTAAAACAACGCGGTCCAATTGGTTCTCATTGGGAAGGGAAAACATACGGAGTAAGTTTAAGCATAATTTATAATATGATACTGTAGAAAACTGTAGAAAGAATGATTACAATATTAAAGCTTATGGTTGATTGATTCATTCGAGATTTAGACAAACAGAAAAAAGTATATTTTAAGTATGTTCAGGGATTCGATATCAAGACCTCTGATCTCACGTGGAAATGTTCGAATCCCGCGAGCAGGATCGTTGATCCATACTGTTGAGGAGTCTCACAATATGACGAAGTGGCCACCTAGTGCCTACAGGTTTTCAATTGTGGCCTAACATCAATCAGTTAATGATCTTAATCGGAAAATTATATTTTTTCGGACATTTTGAAGGATTTTTCTGTAATGGTATTTCTACTGGTGTTTAGTTTTCATAACTATCCGGTATTCATAATGAAAATACTACGAAATAAACAAGATTATAAACATTTGTCTCTTGATGATTCACATTTCAGTGTATATCACTTGTTTAAAGGATTTTTATGATTTTATAAGCTAAGATAGATGTTGGTTAGCAGTGGAATCCAAGATGCACGTTTCGTCCTTTTCGACATTCGTCATCTGGATGTATCTGGATCTTAGAGTTTATACTCACTCCGGAACTTATAAAACTTGTGACTTAAGATAATATCGAGACCATCCGCACAGATCGCACGTATACTAACAAGAGACGGATGAATTTCAATCTTAATCAGCAATGGAAAGATATAAGCGATGAATATCAATTGAATTTAATTTCTATGATTGTACAGGAAGGTCGATAAAGCTAGATCCAAAAAAACGGAAGATAAAGCAGATTTAAACCTACTTTTAACTTCTTTTATTTTTTTGCATGTGCTCACTAGTGACTGGCTTCAGGAGGTATTTCCTGGAGTTCTAGTGAGAAGCAGTGACCAACGGAGTTCAACTGGGTCTATAATGAGATAGTAACTGACTCAAAACAATGGTGGACGGTGGCGCAATTTCATGGATTGGTTGAAATTAAACATTAACACTATTGGTCTAGAGGTCTAGTGATTAGGCGCTTGCGCACGAGACTGGTAGGTCCTGAGTTCGAATATCGCAATTCGTGGTCGCGAATGTGCATTACTGAGGAGTCCGACAATAGAACGAAATGGTGGTCTAGTTTCAATTGATTTATGATCTCAACTATTGAAATTACTAATAATATTCACAAAAATCCCTTCTGATTTTATTTTTACTATTTACTGGTACTGATTTGTTGCAAATGTAGTATTTAACATTAATTAGTTAAGAAGTTAACATCTAAACAAAATTTACAAGATTATCATGTTATTGTTACACGTTGTGAAATGTACCTGTAGAATGATATATTATAGTACTTGACTCAAAATCGTTTGCATGGCTCTTAATTGTTTACAATAATGCAGGTTCATCTACTTTTTGTGTTTTCTCAAATTCTAATCTTCTGAATTTTTCATGTCCCCCTATTTTTCTCTTTCCAAATTTACTTCACTAGATTATACTCCTTGAATAAAATCTTCAAACCCTAATCTTTTTGATTACTGCTTATACTTTTATTACCTCTAACACTATGGGATTTGAATGGACAATTGTATCTGTGTGCTAATGTGATATGGCAAATCAAACTGATGTACCTACGTACGTACAAAGTCCTACATTGTTACTGACTGACTGACTGACTGATTATAATACTTAATCTCATAAATCTATTAATGTTTATTTAGTTAATTTCTTCAATTACATTTTAGACTGAATTAATGACTGGAAGAATAGAAGTAGACTATGCTGTATCTAATATAACTTTAGGTTACTTTGAAGATTCAGGGTACGTTGATAATGTATTATTTTTAACTGCTCTACCTTCTAGAGAAAACAATTTAGTTCTCTTTTCAACCACTAGAGTTATATAATCTATTGTATGAATGACCTCAATGAGCCTAGAGTACTTGTTTGTTCTGTTCAAAGAAGTCATTGAAACACAATTGATTTATTTTATTACTTTAGTTTAAAGTATAAATCTGTGAGGGCCCTTTTAGTTCGTCGATATTTGGATCGGACGATATATGTTGATGGACTCGGCACTTTAGTGGCCTGTGGATCTGACTCCAATTAAATCGTATGAATGTTTGTTATCGCCTATCCTCGGATATAAACATCGACTTAATCCGTGTTAGTCAATAACGGAATTAAATAAGTCAAATAACGAGAATGAACTTTTGAATACATATATTTTGTATATGAAACAAAATAACGTGCAGTGGAGATATTGGGTAAGCCAACTCCCATTTAACCAAGCGTTAATCGATATGTATAAGCACACAAAAATAAGTTACAGACATGTAATGAGTAATGGGATAAGGAGTGTACACACGGCTACGTACTCATATAAGCGAATAATTAACAAGGTCAGAATGTGACTCAAGTAGAATGAATAGATTGGGCTGTTCGATAGCTAGAATAAGGTATATGAACTTAATATAATAACCGATACTACAAACCTCATAAACGGGTTCCAATTTTCTAGGTACTAGGAGCTGTGTATAAAGTAACTAGACAACCATTTCTAACTGACCGATTATATGCCTCGATAGAAGTGTAACTTGACAAATACACATATCGTATGTTGTTTTCTTACCACAAATGATTTAGTAGTTGGTTGCTTGTTAGGAAATTTACCTGATTCACAAGTACACATTGCGTTACTCTTTAATGAAATGTAGTGACAGTGTAACAGTCGCCAGTAATTGGAATCCTAAAATCGTTTATGTTTCAATTAAATGTAGATTGGGTTTGTATTATTCTGTTTAATTAATTTACAAACATTTTACAATCACCAGTATAGGGTTGTAGAGATTATTTAGGTATTGATGGAGATCTTGAACCGATTGATGTTAGACCACTATTAAAAGTCTGGAAGCACTGGACGGTTATTTCGACCTATTGTGGGACTCATCAGCAGTGCGCATCCACGATCCCGCTCACGGGATTCGAACTCAGGGCCTTCAGTCTCGCGTGCGCACGTTTAAATTATGAAACCACTGAGCCGGCATCCAACGGTGTCTAACATCAATCGGTTTAAGATTTCAATCACTTTTACAATCAGCTTGTATAAAATATCGTCATTTAACCAAAAGAATTCTTCAACTAATCATAAATATAATCAGTATTCATACTAAACATCTCAGTTCATACAGATGATTTTCATAGCTACTGGGTTTATACTACATCTCTTTTTCACAACATATTCATCTGACAATCTTTGGTAGGTTGTCTGGTAATGAACAAATATTTAATTATAATCATGTAGAAATTCTCAACAGTACTAATGCGAACAGACATAGTTTTAAGTTAATATTGTTTACTTACTTACATACGCTTGTTACTCCTAATGAAGCATAGGCCGCCGACCAGCATTCTCCAACCCACTCTATCCTGGGCCTTCTTTTCTAGTTCCATCCAATTCTTGTTCATTTTTCTCATATCTATCTCCATTTGCGGCGCAATATGTTTTATGGTCTTCCTCTTATCCTTGGCCTTGCGAATCCCATGTAAGGACTTGTCTTGTGACGCAGTTGTGTGCTTTCCTCAATGTGTGTCCTACCCACTTCCAGCGCTTCTTCCTGATTTCTGCCTCCGCTGGGATCTCGTTTGTTCTCTTCCTCTGTAGGCTGTTGATGATAGTGTTTGCTCAACGGATCCGAAGTATTTTACGTAGACAACTGTTAATAAACACCTGTATCTTCTGGATAATGGCTTTCGTATTTCTCCAGATTTCCGACCCATACAGTAGAACCGTCTTGACATTTGTATTGAGAATTCTGACCTTGGTGTTGGTCGCCAATTGTTTTGAGTTCCAGATGTTCTTCAGTTGTAAATATTCTGCTGTTGCTTTGTCAATCCGTGCCTTCACATCTGCATCAGATCCACCGTGTTATTCGGTGATGCTGCCCAAATATGTAAAGGTTTTTACATCTTCCAAATTTTCTCCGTCATTTTTGATTGGATTGTTACATGCTGTGTTGTATCGAAGAATCTTGCTTTTCCCTTTGTGTATATTGAGACCTATTGCTGCTGAGGCTGCAGCTACACTAGTTGTCTTATCCTGCATTTGTTGTTGCGTATGCGATAGAAGAGCCAGATCAACAGTGAAGTGTAAATCATCCAACTGCATCCTAGATGTTCACTGTATCCCGTGCTTCCCTTCAGATGTTGATGTCTTCATGATCCAGTCGATCACTAGGAGAAAGAGAAAGGGTGAGAGTAAGCAATCTTACCTGACACCGGTCTTTACTTCGAACGATTTTGTCAACTGTCCTCCATGAACGATTTTGCAGTTTAATCGCTCAAAAAAGCGTTAACCAGAAAAAAATTATTCAAATCATTTAAGCGAATATACTTTATTATAAATCAAAATATTTCAAAGAATCTGTTTTCATTTATTAAACATCGGAATAATTCAGTGACTTTATCCTTTGTATATGTCGACAAGGTATCCATGAAAATTATCCCCTCTTCATCCTCAAGTTATAAACCCAATGTATATCTAAATTACGTAATCAACAGAATATACTGGAGAATCTAATCTCATGTAAATGTTCATGTTTGTGAATAAAACATACTAATTATATCAATTATATCAAATATATTAGAATTATACCAAGTTATTTTTGTTTAATTTATTAGATGGTACATTGTTGATTATGGAAAAGCTATGGATTGGGAATATGGTAAAAGATTGGGATGTGATTTTGCTAAAAAAAGTTGTTACGGATTTGCTGAAATTAAAAGAGGACAGTAAGTTTTAGTAGTTGAATGAATGATTTGATCTAAGTTAGACTAACATTGAAAACCTGGAAGCACTGAACGGTCGTTTCGTCCTAGTATGAGAATCGAACCAAGAACCATCGGTCTCGCACACGAACGCTTAACCTTTAGACCAGTGAACCGGTATCCAACGGTGTTGATGTCTAACTTCTATTGATTCATGAATGGATGCTCAATTATTCATTCATTGTCTGATGTAGATACTTCTATCCAACTAATTACTAAAAGTGTAGGAAATTATCTTGGAGCCATTCACTCATGAATTCAACTGTTAAAAATACTACAATCTCCACAAAAACCGCATTCTGTTCATAATTGTCAATTATTCAGTATATTCCACAATTGACACATTATGAATAAATGAAAGTATAGTAAAACAAACTGTTTTCTTATTGCATAATAGAATCTTGGTTATAGTAGAATATATATTTTTAATAATGAGAAAATGAACGTAAGATGTTTAGAAAAGATTTGACATACTAATTTAGTACGCGTTAAGTCAGTTTTACGTTCTCTGTCCCTCTTCACCAAGCTTCGACTCTTTTGTGTATATTTTTATACTACTTATTGATATTTCAGTAAATAATTGTATCCCCAGCAATTTTCACGCCTATATTGTAACTCCAGTTTGTCGTGCCATTGTAGTGAACAAGTACACCAATGGGGACAATCGAATGCATTAGGAAAGAAATGGCAGAACTAGTTAGTAAAATCTAACAACAATATATTAAATGCTCAATTTGCAAAATGTCCATCATTTGCCTCAAATCACTCAAACTTCCTTTGTTCTTGCATTTTCACACAAATTGCATTCTGTTTTCATTCTTTACTGTTTGGTTTTCTTGTTTCTCTGCTGCCAGACATTCTGTTCACAACAAACATCATATACTACTTATGTGTACATAAGTAACACACACCACACTATATTCTAAAATATTTTCACATACTTGTAACATTTATTGTATTTATCACCATAATTACTTTATCTTGATCATTGTAGCAGTTATTTACAATTTCATGAATTTGTTTAACTCTTAATTAAACTCGACGGTTTCCATATGGTCTGTTCGTTGTCCAGTTTTTTCGTGTTGCTACCAAATTTAGACAAAGCTAACAGCTGTCTTTTGCACTATCGTATATTGTAATTATTCTTTATGTTACTGTTATAGGATGCCCCTTATTATATCAGGCAAAATGGATGCTGTAAACTTCGTAGAGACCTCATAATTTAAGATTTGCAACTAATTTTTGTATATTATTCAATAAAGAACCACTGTCTTAGATAAATCGTTGTTTTTCGAATTTCAATTTCGTGCATATCTCAATAGGATGATTTAAATACTTTAATAGACTTAACAGTATATTTGTGATCTTACACCTGATGTCTAAACTGTTTGTACATAGCAGAGTTAAATGAATTCTATTGTACATTTACATGCCTATTGAATCTTATAATTCATTGTGAATTAGTTATAAATGATATAAAATATACAATTTCTTTTTCAAGGAACAAAACAATTCATCCATTCTGTGATAAAATTAATTTAATCACATGTCGAGATTTATATTCATATGGAATGTGTCATATTGTTAAATATAATTATGAAATTCCTCCTGAAGATCGTTTTTTTAAAAAACCTCCATTTGAAACTCCATATTCAGCTAAATACTTTGGAGGTGATGATCCATTTAAAGATTATTGTCCAATACAAACTGTAAGTTTATTATAGTATTTCATTTTAAATATTATATTAGTTAAATTTATGAGTAAATTTTTTGACTAGATTACTATGGAAAAACCTGAAGTCACTGAATGTCCGTTTCGTCCTACTATAGAACTCCTCAGTAGTGCACATGCACAATTCCATTTTGTGAGATTAGAAACCCGAGATCTATCAGTCTTCTATGTGAGCGCTTAACTTCTAGACCACTGAGCTGGTCGGCATCGAACGGTGTTAATGTTTAACATTAACCAATCTACGAAATTTCACCACTGTTTATCATTGTCATCAGTGAGTTACTATCTCACAACAGATCTGGTTGAACTGCACTGATCACAGTTTCTCACTGAATAATACCATAACTGATATTCTTGTGAATGTTTACTTTTCTTTCTGAGTTTTTATTCATGCCATGTTCATATTCACTTCAGTTGACTTATTTTAACTGTATAGGATACAAAAAAAACAAAACAAACTAAAGTAATAGCAACAAATACCTTTACAATATCTACTTATCTGTATAGAAGAAAGTTGGGAAATTGGGAAACAGCCTCATATATATTCTCATAAGATTACATTAAGTCATCTGTCATTTAGATATTGATTTTTTGAAATTGAATATTCTAAGTTTTATTTAATATATGTTGCTAGGATTCAGTTTATAATGAATAACCAATCAATCATACTTTCAAGAAGAAACTGTTGAATAATGTTGATCTATCAGAGAATTCTTATATCTGTACAATTTTATCGTTTATTGAAAAATTACAACGGTATTGAACAAAGTCTGACTTGATAATTTCAATAGTTCAGATTATGAATCAATTGAAGTTAGACCACTATAGAAAACCTGGAAGCACTGAACGGCTGTTGCGTTCTGTTGTGAAACTCTTCAGAAGTTCGCATTCATGATCTTACCTCGTGAGATTCGAACCTTGGTTTGACTCAGCGTAAGTCATTTCTTCAGAGAATAAATAAACAAACCGAAATCAAAACAAGTTTAAATAGTACAAAGGAACAACACAACAATATTATGTGCGATTAATAAAAAAAATATAGATCCGAACACATATCGTACAACATTGGTTAAAGAGGTAGAACTGAGTAAGAGATAAAATTGTATAAGTCATCAGTAGTAGTGTAGTGAATAAGAACATGAATGAGGATGACTGAATGTATTTGAACACTAAATTATAGAATATTTCAGTAAAATCTGTAAACCATCAAGTAAATAGTTAATTTGCAAAATATCAGTCGATTATCACAAAATTGACTGTTCGTTTTGCAAATATCAGTTCATCGTCTCAGATTTCATTGTTCATACATTTTCATCTTGATACCTCTCCGTTCCCGTTCTTTCCCTCTCGATCTTCCATTGAAATACATTTCATGTCTGACTATTATTATATACTACTTATATGAGATTAGATGGTGGTTAGAGGTAGTAGACAGGAAACCCTGGACCCGGATTTCGTGCTACTTGGTACTCGTCAGCAAAGTGTACTTGTAATCTTTTAGGGAACTGGTGCTCCCTGGAGGATTCGATCCCGTGTCATCCAGCTTCACAGTCAGAGACGTTACCACTCAGTTATCCTACAGGAGGTCGGTCGCAGCCCGGATAGCTCAGTGGTAATGTTTCTAACTGTGAAGCTGGGTGACACGGGATCGAATCCGTCAGAGAGTATCAGTTCCCTCAAGATTACAGGTACACCTTGCTGACGAGTACCAAGTAGCACGAAATCAGGGTCCAGGGTTTCCTGTCTACTACCTCTAACCACCATCTAATCTCAAAATAGTGCCCGCAGTGTCGAGTCACCTAGACTGGTGACCGTATTTCAACATGGTCGATAGCATTCAATCTGCACTAATCATAAGGACTAGACACGCAGTGATCAATCAATTGTGATACTACTTATGTGGATATAAGTAGTTCCCATCATAGTAGTTCAACGATCTACTGGGTTTTATAGATCTATCAAATAGATACTTATAAACTACTTTTGAAACATCCATCTATTTGATGTGGAAGAAGTTAAGTCATTCTGTAAAGTAATGCCAATTGTAAGTTTAAAGTATTGATCATATAAAATACCTCAAGTTCTATGATCATAGCAACTATGGAAGTTTTCACAACTTTTGTTTAGAAATTCTATATGTAATTAAGTGAAAATTGTTAACTTTATGTAACCATTTGTGTTAGTTTATTATTAGTTCAACAGACTATCGAGCAACTTCATTTTGTACACATCATGAAAACACAGAAATAAAAGGTGAGTATACTGTTATCTCATTATGTAGTATGTTCTTATTATGGATAATAATCAGTTTTTAAGTTAAAATACACTATTTTTGATCGAGATCATGAATCGATTGATCTTAAATCACCATCGAAAACCTGGTAGCACCGGATGGCCATTTCGTTCTATTGTGGAACTCCTCACCAGTGCGCATCCACGATCCCGCTTGCGGGACTCGAACCCAGGGCCTTCAGTTACACGCGAACGCTTAACCTACTCGACCACTGAGCCGGCATTCAACGGTGTTTATAACTAATCTCAACCAATCCACGAAGTTGAGCGACCATCTTCCATTGTACTAAGGTAGACACCTGTTTCTACCCGATGGGGATTAGCTCCACTGGTCACGACTTCTTACCAGGACTCCGAGAATTTTCTCACGAAGCTAGTCACTGGTGAGCACATTGTAATTATCAGTTTAAGGGTTCGAATCCCGCAAGCAGGTTCGTGGATGTGCACTGCTGAGGAGTCCCACAATAGGACGAAGCGACCGTCCAGAGATTGTAATTTATAAACGAATCAATCAGGTAAAAGATAAAAGGTCTTAATTTTTGGCTTGAAATTTATTCATTCATTTGGCATAATACCATTTCGGCATTACAGCTGATGTCAATTCGTGATGAAAACCCTAGATCTAATTCCTAACGTTAACCATCAACTGTGAATCATAATCATAGGTTTTGGGTCCTTTCAATCTTACTCTATCAACATCATCATCATCATCATCATCATCATCATCATCATCATCATCATCATCATCATCATCATCATCATCATCATCATCATCATCATCATCATCATCATCATCATCATCATCATCATCATCATCATCATCATTATCATCATCATCATCATCATCATCATCATCATCATCATCATCATCATCATCATCATCATCATCATCATCATCATCATCATCATCATCATCATCATCATCATCATCATCATCATCATCATCATCATCATCATCATCATCATCATCATCATCATCATCATCATCATCATCATCATCATCATCATCATCATCATCATCATCATCATCATCATCATCATCATCATCATCATCATCATCATCATCATCATCATCATCATCATCATCATCATCATCATCATCATTCAAGTTCTTTGTTCACAGAATACGTCATCAAATGTTCTGTGTTTGTGAATACAGTTTTACTAATGTCTACTTTGCTACAAATTTAAAATGTTTTTAGGTACATTTTGAAATTTGTTTAAATATAGGTGGTATTAATCGTTTATACCAAACATATGGACCACAGGCACTTTGTACACGACATCGAAGTACTTGGATTTATAAAGATCATTATGAATATGAAATAAGTAGTAATGTGAAAGCAAGTTGTCATAAAGTAAGTTTAAGTTTTTTTGTCTAACATTTTTGCTGTCTATTAAAATGTGACATATTCTCCCTCACAAGAAGTAACGGGTGTAAGTAAGTAAATAAGTAAATAAGAAAGTAGGTAAGTAAGTAAGTAAGTGAGTAAGTGAGTAAGTAAGTAAGTAAGTAGGTTAATAAATAAGTGAGTAAGTAAGTAAGTAAGTAAGTAGGTAAATAAATAAGTGAGTAAGTAAGTAAGTAAGTAAGTAAGTAAGTAAGTAAGTAGGTAAGTAAGTAAGTAAGTAGGTAAGTAAGTAAGCAAGTAAGTAAGCAAACAAGTAATAATGACGTAAGTAAGTAAGAAATTTCATCATATAATATAAATGGAGACGTTTGTTATTCTAAAAATATTTGACCACATTAGTTATATCTTACTCAATTCATATCTGAACAATATGTCATTTACTACAATAATACTGCTCTTATTAATCAAACGTCAAAGATTTTATCAAAACACTGAGTTAAACCCTGTTTTGTGGGGACCAAACCAAAAGGCATAGAACTTCAAATGTCTTAACAAAGTTTTAAAAGTAGAAAGAAATATATCCACTTCAAGTAGAATTTTCTACATCAAAAGAATATAGTGTATGGATGAACTAATTAGGTATTGGATTTTGGCGTGAAATTTATTCATCTATTCGACTTAATAGCGTTTTAGGATTCTAGCTGATAACAGTTTGTGATGAAAACCATTATTCTAAATCCCAACTCAAACTACCAACTATAAATCATAACAGAGTGGTTTTTGTAGATATTATAGTAATTTCAATGGTTGAGATCATGAGTCAATTCGAGCTAGATCACTATGGAAAACCTGAAAACAATGAACGGCCGTTTTCTGCCATTTTGGGACTACTCAGCAGTGCGCCTCCACAATCCCACCTTGCGGGATTTGAACCTAGAATCTATCAGTTTCGCTTAGTTTATAAATCTGGTTTAGTCCTAGTTATTAAGTGAACATTTACAATGTCACTCTAGCCGCATTCAAAAGTTCATTTATAAATTATAGTCTTACCAAGAATATAATTGTAATTATTCATAAGTGGTATTAATTTATGTCAGTCTAGGATGATATTGAAGATTGATCAATATCTTTGGCTCCATTTTTTTTTTAGTATATATGTCATCCAAATGGAACACTTAGTTTTTACTTCAAAAATGCAACTGTTCATTGTCCTAAAAAAGGTGAAGTACGTTTTAAAGTAACCGATGGAAGAACTTCGCTTCAAGGTACTATACTATGTCCTAATGTCAAGAGATTCTGTAAGGTATGTCTCATAGGTTTACTTATAAAATGCTGATAAAGTATATTTGTTTTACATTATATACATATGTGTATGTATAAAATAAGACAGATCGGACAATGTGTCATAAGTAAATGTAAAGTTGTATGTAAATACTTTTGATCAGCTGTCAGTCAGTGGATCGTTTTGGCATAATTTGTAAAGATTATTACTCCAATCTTGATAAATGAAGTTCCTTTATATTTTCGCTTATATTACTTACTTACTTACTTACTTACTTGCTTCCTTACTTCCTTACTTACTTACTCCTAGTGGAGGAAGATAGGCCACCCACCAGAACTCTCCATCCAACCCTATATCGGGCAATCCTATCCAGCTCTTTCCAGTTGCTATTCATCCTTTTTATATCTGCTTCTATTTCCCGCCGTGACTTTTTCTTTAGCCTTCCTCTTTTTCACTTCCCTTCACGATTCCAAGTCAGGTCTTGCCTTCGCTTGTATAGTTGTGTTGAATCATCCTTGAACCATATATAGTAAACTCATCGAAATTGTTGATAAGATTTTGTTAATATATCTGAAGTTTCCATGGTTCAATGTCTGTCAATAAAGTATCTTATCTAGTCATAGTAGTTAGAATCAGTTGGTCAACATTTTGTCAGTAAATTCATTTTTAAATTCGATTCCTGGAAGATCATTTCAAAGATATGCTAATAGTCTAACAGATTTTAAGAAAGAATTACAGTTAGTAGATTGAAAATCATAATATATAGAGTTTACTAAAAGACGAGCTTATAGATGGATGATTTTGTTTTGAATAGAGGAATGTATTTCTTTTTATACTTAATCCTTAACTTACTTACTTACTTACGCCTGTTACTCCTCGTGAAGGAGCATAGGCCGCTCACCAGCATTCTCCATCCAACCTTGTCCTGGGCAATCCTTTCAAGCTCTTTCCAGTTCTTATTCATCTTTTTCATATCTGCTTCTATTTCCCGACGTAATGTGTTCTTTGGCCTTCCTCTTTTCCGCTTCCCTTCAGGATTCCAAGTTAGCGCTTGTCTCGTAATGCAGTTTGATGATTTCCTCAATGTATGTCCTATCCATTTCCATCGTCTTTTCCTAATTTCCTCCTCAGCTGGAAGCTGGTTGGTTCTCTCCCACAAAAGGCTGTTGCTGATGGTATCCGGCCAATGGATGTTGAGTATCATGCGTAGACAGCTATTGATAAATACCTGTACCTTTTTGATGGTGGTTGTTGTAGTTCTCCACGTTTCAGCTCCGTACAGTAGAACTGCCTTGACGTTCGTATTGAAGATTCTGACTTTGATATTGGTTGAAAGTTGTTTTGAGTTCCATATGTTCTTCAGTTGAAGGAATGCCGCTCTAGCTTTGCCAATCCTCGCCTTGACGTCTGCATCTGAACCTCCTTGTTTATCGACGATGCTTCCCAGGTATGTGAAGGATTCCACGTCTTCCAGAGTTTCGCCATCAAGAGTGATTGGATTGCTGTTCTCCGTGTTGTGTTTGAGGACCTTGGTTTTCCCTTTGTGTATGTTGAGGCCTACTGATGCAGAGACTGCTGCTATGCTGGCTGTCTTTATCTGCATTTGTTCGTGTGTATGTGATAGGAGGGCTAGGTCATCTGCAAAGTCCAAGTCGTCTAATTGGTTCTGAGCTGTCCATCGTATGCCGTAGTTTCTCTCAGATGTCGAGGTCTTCATAATCCAGTCGACCACCAGAAGAAACAGGAAGGGAGAGAGTAGACAGCCTTGTCTTACTCCGGTCCTTACTTGGAATGCCTCTGTCAGCTGTCCTCCATGCACTACTTTGCACTGTAGTCCGTCGTATGAGTTCCGGATAATGTTGACAATCTTCTCAGGAACTCCGTAGTGTCGAAGAAGTTTCCATAACGTTCTCCCATCTCTACTGTCAAATGTCTTCTCATAATCAATGAGGTTGATGTAGAGTGACGAGTTCCACTCAATTGATTGTTCGACGATGATCCGTAGTGTCGCAATCTGGTCTGTGCACGACCGGTCCTTACGGAGTCCAGCTTGTTGATCTCGAAGTTGAGCGTCAACTGCGTCTTTCATCCTGTTCAGTAACACTCTGTTGAAGACTTTACCCGGTATTGACAGTAGTGTAATGCCTCTGTAGTTTTCACACTTGCTCAGATCTCCTTTCTTTGGAATCTTGATGAGGTGTCCTTCTTTCCAATCCATCGGCACTTGTTCCTCCTCCCAAATCTTCTTGAATAGAAGATGAAGCATGCTTGTAGTTACTTCGATGTCTGACTTCAACGCTTCAGCTGGTATATTGTCAGGTCCTACTGCTTTCCCGCTCTTGATTTGTCTGACGGCCATTCTGATTTCTTCTGTCGTTGGTGGATTGACATTTATAGGAAGATCTTTGTGTGCTGCTTCGATGTCCGGTGGATTCATTGGAGCCGGTCCGTTCAGGAGTTCCTCGAAGTACTCTGCCCATCTGTTCCGCTGTTGTGGAATCTCAGTGATTGGTCTTCCTTCTTTGTCTTTGACTGGTCTCTCTGGTTTACTGTATTTCCCTGCAAGCTTCTTCGTCGTATCGTAAAGCTGTCTCATATTTCCTTCTCTTGCAGCTTTTTCCGCCGTCGTTGCTAGTTCTTCCACGTATTTTTGCTTATCAGCTCTAATGCTCTTCTTCACTTTCTTGTTTGCTTCTATGTACTCTGCTTGTGCTTGGACTTTCTCTGCTCTTGTTCGACTGTTGTTAATTTCTGTCTTCTTGTTCTTTCTTTCTTGGATCCTGTCCAGTGTTTCTGTAGAGATCCATTCCTTGTGATGATGTTTCTTGGGGCCCAGAACCTCTTGACACGTTGAAGTTAATGTTTCTTTGATACCTTTCCAGCTATCCTCCATAGTAGTTTCTTCTTCCTTCAGTAGATCCTGTGAGGCTTGGAACCTGTTGTTGAGAGCTACCTTGAATTCATTGAGTTTGTCAGTATCTCGAAGGAAGGCTGTATTGAACCTTTGTGGTGCTGTTTGTCCAGTTGTCCAGTTCTTCTTTAGCTTCAGTTTCAATTTGGCCACAACTAGGTGATGATCTGAAGCTATGTCCGCTCCTCTCCTGGTTTTCACATCTTCCATTGTCCTTCGGAACTTTTTATTGATGCAAATGTGATCTATCTGGTTCTCTGTGATGTGGTCCGGTGAGATCCATGTAGCTTTGTGTATACGTTTGTGTGGAAATATTGTACCGCCTATGACCAATTTATTGAATGCACACAGATTCGCGAATCTTTCCCCGTTTTCGTTTCTCTCTCCCAGTCCATGCAGTCCCATGATGTCTTCATATCCGGTGTTGTCCATTCCGACTTTGGCGTTTAGATCTCCCATCAGAATGGTGAGGTCCTTTCTTGGGCACTTCTCTATGATTGATTGCAGCCTCTCATAGAATTGATCCTTAACGTCGTCGTTGCTATCATTGGTAGGTGCATAACATTGGATAATGTTCATTGTGATCCCCTCCTTCTTTGTTTTGAATGATGCTTTGATGATTCTGGATCCGTGAGATTCCCATCCTACAAGTGCATT